AAAAAATCCAGGAAAAACGGCTGCCAGTTCCGTCGTTTTCTACTTCAGAAGTAAGACGACGAGAACGTTTTGAGAGATCGCGACCCTCATCATGACTGAATCTGGCCTGCAAGAGCCCTACCATACAGACTGCAATTACCGTTGAGGTTCTGACAGGTTGGACGTGTCGGGCGACACTCATGCAAAGAAATTCTTGATTTTTTTCCATTCCAGGAAAAACGGCTGTCAGTTCCATCGTTTTCTACTTCAGAAGTACTAAGAAGAGAACGTTTTAAGAAATCGCGACCCTCATCATGACTGAATCTGGCCTACAAGAACCCTACCATACAGACTGCAATAACCCTAACATACAACACAGAGTGTTACCCGAACTACAGATTACTAAAAGCTTGCGGGCCAACGCGCGGCCTCCAAAAAAAATCTGGCTGCCCGTTTCTTATTTTACGCGAGCAGGGGGCCGGGTCTACCACCGCCCCTCACAACTTTTTTTTTTTTTTTTTGACCCCCATTTTTGGAGGTGCGCCGCATGCAGTGCGCGCGCGTCGTGCGGGATGCGCCGTGCGGCGCACGTGCGCAGTGCAGCGCATCGCGATGCGCCGCATGTATGGTCTTATGTAAAAAGGAAAAAAAAAACACTGAAATAGAAAGCCTGCCCGGCAGCTTCTAGCCTGGTCGGCGCTCGCTGCCACTCACAATGAAAAAACGCTTAGCCGTAGCGCGACGCCATCCTGTAAAAGACCTAGATGCACTCTTAATGTACCCATGAACTGTTGAAAATGTAGATGCGAGTTTGAATCCGGGCCGAATCAAATAAACAGAACACAATAATTCTGAATCACCTGGAGCTAGGGAGGTTTAGTTCTGATTTTGCATATCCACGGGTCTCTGCCATCCGATCTTGAAATCTCGCGGCCCCTATGTGACTATGCTGAAAAGTACTTGAGACCGGAAATAAACCTCCGCAACTGGGCCATGTGGTGAGTTTGTTGATGATGGGCCTCTCTCCACTACTCTCCAAGTGTTCAAAATGAGACTGAATCTTGCGCTAGAACATGAAAAGGTGCACCACCCTTTGTTTTTTTCCCCTTTGTGGACATGGCGAGTAGAGGCCGTTTCCCTTTTCCAAAGAAATAAAAACAAAAACTTTTTTTTCCCCTTTGTGGACATGGCGAGTAGTGGCCGTTTCCCTTTTCCAAAGAAATAAAAACAAAAACTATGGGTGTCACTCCACTACTCACCACATGCACAAAAGACAAAAAATATGGCAGTGCTGCTTCTTTTTTTTCGGGGGGCGGAGCAGTGTATCTTTTAATGTTCTAGCGGAAGACTCATTCCCTATGGGCCTCGCTGCATTACTCTCCAAATGTGCAAAATAAGAATCTTCCGCTAGAACATGGAAAGATACACCGCCATATTTTTTGTCTTTTGTGCATGTGGAGAGTACAAGCGAGGCCCTATCTGCCCGACTTGCCACGCCACTCACCAAATGAGAAAGGGGAATGTGCCACCAAAAACAAAAAGGGCAAAAACGATGAAGACATGAAAACGACAGAAAGAAACAAAAGAACGGAAACGACAAACAATTCCTGCAGGGAATCGCGGTGCCACCCACTGAATAGGAACGTTGCTGGTGTATCTTGCTGCGTCCTCGCAGCATATACATACTCCATTTTGCACATCTGGTGAGTAGCGCAGCCAACCCTTTCTTTTTTCTTCATTCTAGGGCAACGGCCTCAAACGTGCTAGTTTCTGTTTTTCCTTTTTTCTTTCCGTGCATCCGTGGTCCAAAGTTGTGCTGCTTGTAGTTTTCTCGGCCGTTCAGTTTTTCAGCCCGGTTTTGCGGAACACCGTCAATAGGCGCCGGAAATCGTGCTGCGTATCGAACGGCCAATCTTGCAGATGAGAAGAATCTGGTCGGGATGGGTTGCGGCGTAGCGTTACACCCGACCGAAAGAACTTTAATAGAAGGCAGTAGATATTATTGTAATTTGAGTGGAACTCCACTGAATAGCAATGTTGCCGGTGTATCTTGCTACGTCCTCGCAGCAGATACGTACTCCATTTTGCACATCTGGTGAGTAACGCAGCCAACCCTTTCTTTTTTCTCCATTCTAGGGCAACGGCCTCAAACGTGCTAGTTTCTGTTTTTCCTTTTTCTTTCCGTGAATCCGTGGTCCAAAGTTGTGCTGCTTGTAGTTTTCTCGGCCGTTCAGTTTTTCAGCCCGGTTTTGCGGAACACCGTTGATAGGCGCCGGAAATCGTGCTGCTTATCGAACGGCCAATCTTGCAGATGAGAAGAATCTGGTCGGGATGGGTTGCGGTGTAGCGTTACACCCGACCGAAAGAACTTTAATAGAAGGCAGTAGATATTATTATAATTTGAGTGGAACTTTGAATTGGCACTGTTCATGGCCATCACTCAAGCTTGTGTGAGCTTTATCCGAATGGTCTCAATTTGCATGTTGTATTCTGAATTGAACCTTGCAAGGTTTATTGCACAAAGAACGCGGCCCCAAGGGAGATGACAAAGAGAGCATTCTGCGCACCTACCATAAAAAGGTAGTTCTCTGGTGCCAAGCTGATCGAAACATTCCCCTGGAAAACAAACTCCACAGTTGGGAAGAAGTCCCCTAGCTCTGAAGTATCACTGGAAGCGCCCGCGAAGCATATATCTTGGAAGTTGGGATCTGGACCGTCAACCCGCTCCAGATCGATTGTTGCCACAACCTGCAATATGCACAAATGACATCAACCTTGGCCACATCCATGCAATCACATCTTGACTTCCAACAGTCAACGACACAACCAATTAACAGGGACCCCACTTTGCAGCCCCAAGTCAACCCCCCCCCCAGCACTAAAAGGTGCATTTGGGGATTTTTTTGTCAGGTTTTTCTTTTTCTTTTTCTTTTGTTTGCCCCCAAGTTTGGTGTTTGTTGCGGTCTTGGAGATGACTGTTTTGGCCAGTCCTGAAAATCCTGAAAATTCTGAAAACTGAAAAGAGCGAATGTTGCATGAAAACACACTTTTGCCTTGGGGTTTAAGGCCCCTTTGATCCATTTCCCCCCCCTTTTTTTTTTGCTGTTGGTTTATTTGGTGTCCACTCTATGGACTGTTCATGGTCACTTAAAAGGTGTGGGAGGTTCGTTATAATGACCCTGAAAAAACCATGGTAACCCCAGACCCGGACACATCCAGGACTGTCTTCCGGACCAGTGTCTGGACCGGTCCGGATTGTCAGGTGATCCGGACATCACCGGACACCAGACAGTCCGGACCGGTCCCCGGGGTGCAAAAATGTCCGGACCCAAAACAAAAAGAAAAAAAAAAAAGAAAAAAGTGGGGGTGGGGGTGTTGGCAGGCACTTACCTGCTTTTCACTCTGTAGTTCAGGCAGCAGAGCACGTGTCTTGCAGCAAATCAACCAGCACATTTAACTAGCAGACATGCAGAGTTGCAAACAGTGCAAAGCAGGAACAAGACTAAAGAAACAGAGAATTGTGTTTTGAGAAAAGTATGATTAACTTTGAGCTTTGAACTTTGGATTTAGTAATTTAAGTTCATAACATCATATATACCTTAAAAGTTCGAACTTTGCAGTTCAATTCAGAACGTCAGAGGCTTCAGACTGGCAGCACTGTCAGTCCTCTCTCTCTCTCTCTCTCTCCCCAACGGGCAGCAGCGGCGGGAGCCACGTCAAAGCGGCCACTTTGAAATTGCTCGGGCCTGTGCGAAACCCGCCACCTCAAAAACCTGCAGTGTCGTGTCTGGACCTCTAGGCCATGTGCGGTGGGGTGAAAGGACGCTTAAAAATCACCCCGTTACTTTCGAGGGGACAAACGTCCTGGGCCGTCCCTTTTTTTTTTTTTTTGCCCCAGGGGCCTCCATCTGGACATGGGGACCGGACACCGGACACCGGACTGTCTGGAACCCGGTCCGGACGTCCGAGCGGTTACCAAAAACCCTGAAAGTTTAGGGCTCTATTAACCGCTTCTCATCAAAGATGTTACAAGGTACGAAGAAAAAATAAAAAGTTAAAAAACCAAAGTCAAAAGACAAATACAAATGTTCCTAAGCCACCACTTCGCGCACCAGGCAAAAATGCAACACACACAAAATATCTGGGCTACCAAACCAAAATGGGTGGGGCACTGCCAGCTAAAGTCACACCCACGGCGGGTCCTTTTTCTTTTGTCGTGCAGCATGAGCAGTCTTGCAAAACAAACGGCCCAAACGTAGCAGTGGTTTAAAAGAAGAGGAAAAAAAGGGAAAAAAAAGTGAAAGACAAAAAAATAACACAGCCACAACAGGATGGTTCAAGAGCAGGCTAGAAAACCTCGAACTGAAGGCTGCTGCAGTTAATAGACTGCAAAGCACAGCGCTGCACGCAGCATTCCACATTATCTGTAGATGACCAGGAGATGACAACAAGCACAGGCAAAAGAGTGCCCACACACCCAGAACTGAAAGGCAACAGAGTGTAGCCAGCCCATGTGGCAGGATGGTACACACATGTAGTTGTCCATACAAAGGATCACGAGTTGAATCCTCATCAAATCGTGGATTGATATGATAACTTCAGGATGCTACCCCTAAAAAACATGAAAAAAAGGCAAGAATAGTCATAGAGAACTGCCCGGCGAACCATAGGCAGAAAGGGAGAAAAAGACAAGAAACGTGAGGCTGTGACAGAGTTTCACCAACTCGTCGGGAGGCTGAATATATAGCAGATAGGGTAAGTGCAAGGAAAATGAGGGAAAGCGATAGACAGAACGAAATTTAAACATCATATTGAAGACCAGATAGTCATGTCCCCAGCAGAGAGCAGACTGCACCGAGATACAAGCCAAATAAGAGCAATGCAATGAACTCGAATGTCAGTGTAGCCCCATCTCGCCACTATCAACAATGTACCCAATGTCGTTCTTCTTGATTGGCGCTCAACACCCAGCCTACCACCACACAGAACCTATGCTAGCCCACAACTAAATGACAAAGCAACCGGGAAAAACTTCCAGCTGAACACCAATGTACATGACAAAGCTGCCCATGCAGACTGCTGCATACACACCATGTACCTGTCTCCCTCTCACCTCTCACATCGTCCTCTTCCCACACTGTACAGGTTTTCCGGAATATGTGCCCCCCAACAGAAGGTCAAAACTTAGAAGCATGAAAAATATTTTACTACACATCAATGTGCTCACCTTTTTCTTGAACGCATGGAACGCCTGTGACGGAAGGTATGCAAAAGTGGTTCCACTGTCCAAAACAGCTCCATAGCCCTCTGTGTAGATGTCAGCGGGCACATCCAAAGTTTCCCCGTCCAGTCGTACGCCTTCGAGCACCACACAGTAGTAATAGCTGAGGGGAAAAAGTCACGTGCAACAAAACATGAAGCTGATGAATCTATCGAATTTTTTTTTTTTTTTATCTCCAAAATGTGCAAGGAATATGAGCGACCACGATATTGCAAAATCAGGGAGAAGTCCGGATAGTCATGTAACAAGCAGAGAGCTCMAATGCACCAAGATTCCATCCAAATAAGAGCGATACAGTGAACTCGTGAGCCAATGTCCAAGCCCTCAGGCCACACCAACGCAGTATTCAATGTCGCTCCCACTGTCTGGCGCCCAGCGCCCAGCCTACTCTACTCATCCTACCTAGCCTATCTACATTCGTGCAACAGGCTCACTTCGACTACGAAGACCAATGTACATGACGTCAACACCTATGCCGACCTCCCACATACGCCAGGAACGTACTCTGAACTCCCCTCATCACCCCTCGTCCACCCACACCTGCGCGTCCTTCCTGAAGACCACCGTCGCCTCCATCTGCCCGCGCCTCTGCAGCGCGGCTATAGCCGCTTGGCACCCCGCTGCACTACAGCGCCCCACACCTCTCAGCGCCCGCGCGCGCCCCAGCCAGTGCTTGCACAATGCAGACACTTGCGCTGAATCGCAGCAGAATGTCCGCATTGCCTGCCTAGGCCAGAATGCCGAACACTGGCCGGCCTCCTCCCTATATGGGAGTCACTGCTGCTGCTGGACTGTCTGGGCCTGGCCGTGGCCCTAAGTTTCCAGTAACTTCTGGCCGGGCCCCAGTGTCTGCACCCAGGCCCATGTCTGCAGTTGAGGGCCTGGGCCCTTTGCATTTGGGCACACCCAGGATTATACAGGCTCCGAATGTTTGCTGTGTTTGCATTGGCCCGCGGGGTAGGTGTGAGGACAATGCTGCATTCTCATTGGCCTGTGGCCACTTCATGATGTGTCAGCCTCACACTGAGTGTGCCCAGGGCTCAACAGCCTGACGCAGCTGCTTCTTCTGGAAGAGCCCAGGGTGAGGCCCAGGTTGCACTTCCACCAACTGGCATACAGCAACGGTCTGAGACCCAGATTGAAAAATGCTGAGTTAAGGGCCTCTTGTGGATATTCAGGTCCCCCTTCACTTAGGGCGGGCACGAGGCTTGCTGGGGGGCACAGTCAGAACATATGCATGTTGTCTAGGGCCCCATGAGGGCACATTCCTCACAAATGTTTAGAAATTTTTAAAATAATATAAATGTAATTAATTGTCAAAACCAAAGAACGTTCCAGTCCAAATTGAAAGGGTCTTCACCCAGTTCATGCATGTGCAGATCGCAGGGCTCGATCCCTAGACCTATCCCAGACCCTTGTACAGTTACCCGACACCCTGTGTGCCTTTGAACCCGTGACCTCTCTTAAAACGTATGTCTGTGTGTTGTGTACATAGTTAGGGTCGTGTGGACTTGAGCTGTAGACTATAGGATTAGTAGTCCTAAGTCTGTCCAGCCCTTAACCAAGGATCTTCTAGAAGTCAGTAGGTTAGCTGAGTCAGCGAGGGGGAGGTTAGCCCTAAGTATAGTGAAGGGTCTGTCAGTTGTAGCCTAGGAGGTTCTAGAATTGTCAACTTGACCTTTTGAGGCTGTAGAAGTCAGTCATCGGTAGGCGAGTCAGCGAAGTACAGTCCAGTCCCAGTCGCAGTCCCAGTCAACCCTGTCTAGTCAGCAAGTACCAGGCGAGGCTGCACACTCCTCGGGCCCAGGACAGAAGGCAGGCCAGACCACGACGAAACGGTATAAATAAAGAGGCAGCGCCCAGCTATTCATTCATTCACCTGCGAGCCATGTGGAAGTGCTTGTGAAGCGACTTGTGCGTTGGAGGTCTGCAGGAACCCGAAGGGAAAGTTAGCAGCGGCCATCGCCGCTAGGGAGAGGAAGATGACAGCGGCCATAGCCGCCAGCTTGGTGACGACAACAGTATGTGTCTGTCGGTGTGGACATTCAGGGTAGATTCTAGTGTGTTTACATGTGTGAGTGAGCGTGAGTCTATCTGTCTGATGGTGGATACAGTATCGAGTGGGAATTCAGACTGGCGCTCAGACGCCATAGCCACAAGATAAGACAAGTTGACTTAAGCTGAGTTCGGGCTGGAGGCCATATCTCTGAGTTTTCTGTGTGGGCGTCGTGCGCCATCTCACTCTTGTTGCTGATTCTACCTTGCGAAGTTTCTTCTGTCATCGGCACCTGTATGCATGCATGTTGTAAGAGAAGTTGAAGACGAGTCTGATTACAAAATGCTGCTCGAACGCGAAAAAAATAGGATTGGAAAGAAAAACGTACAATAAGAAAGAATGACAAAAAAAAAAAGAACGGCGCACTTCTCTCGCATAAAAAAGATTAGGGTTTGCAACAATGTAATCAACAGCTATGCCTGCCAAAAACGCCGAAATGGAGAAAACAGATTTTTCTTCCAAAGAATGTCTGCCCAACATATATGTGATCAGGCCGTCAAAATGCCGCTGTGCTGTGCGTCTAGTCCCAGAGGCCCATCTGGAGAGTATTCTGGCTGCAACAGACCTTTCTTTGTTTTGTCCCTTTCAGGGAGGTTGCCGGCTTATGATGGGGTGTGAACCTGCGATGCATGGAGTCTTCCGTCTGGTGTGGGTGAGTGATAGTCTGCTTTGGTTTTCGTCATAGGCACCATTGAGAGCAGTGGTTGGTTGCTGCCCACCTTCGGGGTCTCAGTTGCAGGGCAGTCATTGATGCTCGACTGCAACTGGGTTTAAGGCACATTATCACGTACAGTATCATCGGTTAGAGGACTCTGCAGGCTGTGGAGGGATGGAGTGTGAACCGGCGGTGCATGGAGTCTTCCGTCTGGTGTGAGTGAGTGATAGTCTGCTTTGCTTTTCGTCATAGGCACCGTTGAGAGCAGTGGTTGGTGCCCACTTTCAGGGTCTCCGTTGTGGGGCAGTCATTGATGCTCGACTGCAACTGGGGTTAAGGCACATTATCACTTACAGTATCATTGGTTAGAGGACTCTGCAGACTGTGGAGGGATCGGCCTCCTGATCAATCGGTGGAACTCCAACGAAACAGTTCACAACAGCTCCCCATTTCTTGTCCTTTTCTCCGTTTCTGCCTACAGTTTACCGGGCATTTCTATATGACAATATGTATATATGCAACATATATACATACACATGGGACCGTTTCTGCCTACAGTTTCCTGGGCATTTCTATATATATATATGCAATACATATACATACACATGGGACCTGACACCTCCAGTCTACTACTGCAGCCAATGAATCGCCCCCGGTCATGACCGGGGGCCTTTTTGTCGCCAGCAGTCGCGACCAGAAGTCGGGCCACAGCCGCCGAAGCTCCGGCCGTGACTTTCAGGATTTTGGGGGGGGTCAATTTTTTTCCAAAAAGAAACGCAAAATTATGGTGTCCTATAACTTTTTCACCTCTACAATGAAATATATTTTGTTTTCAATTTGACTTTGTTTTCGATTTTTTGAAAATCAAAAACTAACTTTCCTGAGCCAAAAGTTGTTTAGTCTACATTTTTGGTAAGAAAAACAATGGAATTTGCTTTTTTTTTTTAACAGTTGGTAAGGAGTTTGGATGTGACCCTTAGGCAGAAGTTGTTCAGATTGTTTTTCTGCATAACATTTTTCGTTTCCAGTTTTTTCAAAGACTTTTTTTTCCCCCATGACCGGAAACCCCGGTCATTACCGCGCCCCCCCACTCATGACCGGAGGACACGGTCACAACCGCAGTGACCGCCGGTCATGGGGATTCGTAGACTGCGGCATCAATTGATGAAATACAGGTTATACACCAACAAGACTCTAGCTCAGTTGGAACGCTCGCGGACTGTTGAAATACAGACCCAAATTCAAATCCAGATGCAGCAGAATAAAATAGTTCTCAATTACCTGGGGCCTCTCAGTTCGATCATCATATCTCAAGGCTATGGCCCGTCTTAAAAAGAAAATGAAATACAGGTTACGAATCTTACAACGTCACTTCCTCGCACTTTATTTAAGACTGTCGGGTCAGGCCCTTTGCAGAATCTCGAGGGTTGCGCATGCATTTGTTTATGGGTTGTTTTTTTCCCTGCAGCCAAAAGGGTGCTCTACGTTCTGGAGAAACACAGAAACACATAGCCCTTGAACCTGTAATCCCCCAAACATGTGTTTCATAATTTGGAATTATGTTCGATTTGAAACGAGGGTTGAGAGAGTTGAGCGATGGCGCTTGCAACTTGGCCGGAGCTGTTCACTGCGGTGGGTCACCCGCGTTTGAACCATGTACTAGTAACCCCTAGCCTGCGATCTCCAGAGCTATCGCTGCAATCAGACTCGTTCTCAAACACACTTTTCATGCATGTAAACAGCAACGCAGTATACTGGCGACATGCGCCCACTCAAAACTCAGAGATATGGCTTTCAGATACGAGTTCACTCTCAATTGGCTATGGCAACTTCAGCGCCCAAACATCTCACTGTTCACATACACTGGATCACCCTGGATATCCCACACGCATCACTCTAACACTCGAGCACACACACACACTCACTACTAACTACAGCTATGGCAGCTATGGCTGCCTCTAACCTATCGCTATGCTAACTCCTCCTCTCTTGCCCACTGCGTCCTCCGGGCTCATCTGCAGACCTCCTTGCACAAGTCGCTGTGGCAGCACTTCTGCATGGCTCGCGCAGGAACGAATGAATGGCTGGGCGCTGCCTCTTGATTTATACTTCAGAAACTCGTTGGTCTGCCCTTTGCCATCGGCCCTTGGTTCTCACAGTCCCCCTGTGGTACTTGCTGGACTGGACTGGGACTCTCTAGACCCTTCTG